TATATATATATATATATATATATAAATTTATACGCCCTTAATTTATCCAAAGCCGTCGATATTCGAATTAATGCAGGCGACTGTTCAGCGGATTAATAAAATATTGAGATGAGTTTAAACTTTATAAAACATTATCTATAAGTATATATATAAAAGTATATATATATATATAAGTATATATATATATATTTATATATATATATATATAAGTATAAGTATAAGCTGCTTCTTAAATCTGGCTTCAACATAAACATAACACATGCAACAATTGCGAAGAAAAGCAGTATAATATGTAGCTCTATAAAGAAGCAAGTTTATTTGTTTATTATTATACAGCTTCCTTGTGCTGAATGTGTTTATAATGAAGCATTATACACCTCAAACTACTGTTAATTCTTTTTCTGTTTTAAATAATGCATAGTAAGAACGATAATCTTCTAAAGACATTATTATTGTACATTATAATAATATATAAATATATAATATTTATATATTATTATATTTAATATATAATATCTCTTCTATATATATATATATATCAGTAATATTCTCATTTATATACATCAAAGACTCTGTTGTCTTCATCCAAATTACACTTGGCTGTTAAAATATAACTTAGTATTTCTTTGCTATTGTATATTATTGTAGAGCTTGAAGCTTCTCTCGCAAATGCATGAAGAAAGTAAAAGAATAAACAAAGCTTAGCAGCTAATAGCAAACAGAGACAGACTTTTTAATTAAATATCTTCGTGTTTAAAGCAAGAAGAGAGGTGAGTAGATGAAGATATTCTTCTTCTTAAGTAGGATAGCTTTATTTAGGGTTTATTTGTTTTGTTTAATGCATCGACATACACTCGAAATGCATGCATTCGTCTTCATACTATTAGTATTAATATCTCAAATGCATAAGACTGTCAACAAAGTTTTACCTGAAATGTCTTCAAAAAGCTTAATCGTCGTTCTTAATGAGAAATGCTAAATAAACGTAATTTATATATGTGACATATACGTCTTATTATATGCAGATGCAGCATAGTAAAGCATACATACATACATATATATATATATATATACATATATATATATGTATATATATACACAGATATATATGTATATATATGACATATACGTCTTATTATATGCAGATGCAGCGCAGTAAAGCTATCTCAGCAAGTGTACATTATTATTTTGCTTGCTCTGTACATTTGAACAAACAAACAACAACAAAGTGAGAGGGCTCTGAAGATTAAACCTCTTAAGCAATTCTTCTAAACAATCTGCATGCACTCCTTGATACAACAGCGAGAATTACAAAGGTAGGCGAGCTGAGCAACGCTTAGCTTATTCATATATATAATATAATATAGTATAATATGTAGGCGTTTGATAGAAGGCTGCTGCTGCTGCTGCTGCAGCTGCTGCTGCTGCTGCAGCAACAAGCGATGAGGGCTGCTGCTGCATCAGCAGCAGCAAAACTTTAAATTATAATTACTTCAACTCGCTGGTTTTGCTGCAGAGGGCACTCAGCTAACTAACTGCAACCAACGGAGCTAAGAAAGCAAAGGCAGCTTCTGCTGCTGCCTGCAGCAACTGCAGCAAGAACAGCATTTGCAGCAGCAGCAGCAGCAGCAGCAGCAACAGCAGCAGCAGCAGCTCTCTCGGTAAATCCACCCTTTTCTAAGTGCTGCTAGGGGATGTGGGTTTGAGACAGACGCAGCAAGTTTGTGTTGCATGCATTTCTATTTGCTTATGTGCTGTCTATGAAGAGCAAATTAAATATTAATTAATTGTCTGCATTGTCAGGCCGTGCATGCGGACTTCTCTTGCATCACAAACCGCAGAAAGATATGTTTTAATGCGTTTGTCTATCCCTCTCCTTACCCCACACCAACAACAGCAGCAGGCCCTTTGGCTGCTGCTGCTGCTGCTGCTGCCTGGAGTGCAGCAGAGTTAAAGATGTCTGTTAATTTGCTGCTCTAATGTGAAATCTTTTTGACTTAACTGCAACTCATTACTATCTTAATATATAGCCAGTACTTCCTACTTATTACTTTTAAAGAGATGCATTAGCTATTATTATTATACTTTCTTCAACGTGTCTTTCTATATGAGCTTCTTGATGCCTATCTGGTGTGGGGCATGGGTTTATTTCTCTTTAATATCTGCATTCATTAAGAATTTGAAGTTTTTAAATATATTATTTATCCCTGACATCACGGAGCCGTCGTTAGCTGCAACAAAAGCAAAATACTCTCATAGAGAAGTGTACAGTAAACATATAATTAAAACATACACCGCATCAAGAGATGTCATGTCATGGGCTCAGCAGCAAAATTGCATTTGTATAACGAAGAAAAGAATAGGAAATTATAATTGAGTTAATACTACTATTAGTATTAGTACTAGTAAATAATAAACAAATGCGGGTGTAATGAGACTCTCTAAACAAAGGTGCTTATACACCTAAAACATCCTTCTATACTGCAAGCACTGACACTGTAGACAGCTTATAAATATTTTATTTAGCTATTTATAAGCTTGCACTGCAGTAAAAACATAAAATATTAATTATAGACAAACTGTACGCCTCTCTCTACATTGTTTATGAGGACACGGGGGTGAAGTGGGTGTCGAGTTTTTTCTCTAAAAACAACATTTTAGAAGTGCATTTTGCATGAAAAATGAGAATTTCGATGAAAAAATATACTTTTATTGTATTTAAACAGTAAAAGCAGAAGCAGAGAGGGGTAATAATACTACAAGGAGCAGCCCCGCGTGTGCAGGGCAGTGTATGTACAGCTGAAGCATGAGTACTGTCTATAATTTTACGTTTTTGAGTTTCGAATTGTTTATTTGAATATTTTAGTTGTTTAAAAATAAGAAATAAAGAAGTAAGATATTGGAGTTTATAAAGAAAAGCAAGAAGAAGGTGCAGAAGAAGATGCGGTGGGGAGATGCTGCAGCAGCATGGCTGCAGCAGCAGCAGCAGCAGCAGCAGCAGCAGCAGCAGCATCCCCCCCGTCTGCGTGTTGCGGGGCGGTATGGAGGGCAGCAGGTTGTGAAGTAAAGTGCGAGTGTAGAGGTTTAAGAGGTGCTTTTGTTTTGCCGATGTATATGCATTAAAGCATTTCATCTACTTATATTTCTATTGAGGAGAAGAGTAAAAGCAGCAGCTGCGTCTGCTACTTGTGTGTTGTTGCTGTTGCTGTTGCTGTTGCTGCTGCTGTTTAGTAGCAGCTTCTTCTTCCCCACGCTCATAATATATCTTCAAGAGGGGGTTTAGTTGTGTGTGTATATCTTTGTTTGTTTATCTCCTGTTAATCTTCATTTATATCCTTGTGAATATACAAACTCTTTGAGTGTTTCTTTTCCTTGTGTTTGTCTCGTCTTGCAGCAGCAGCAGCAGCACCTTCATTCATAAGAAGATATATATATATATACATATATATATATATCTTTCTTTCTTTGCTTCATTTACTATTGAAGCATCAGCAGCATTACAATCCTAATACTAAGGGGGAGTAGGAGAGTCTCCTTTTGGGTGTATCTTATTGAATTAACATAACGAGTTAAATTTGTGAAGTTAAAGAAAATGTCTGAGGCCCCGGCAGTAGGTATAGATCTCGGGACGACATATTCATGTGTAGGTGTGTGGAAGAACGACGGTGTAGAGATTATAGCGAATGATCAGGGTAATAGAACGACACCGTCTTATGTTGCATTTACAGATACAGAGAGGTTAGTAGGAGATGCAGCAAAGAATCAGGTCGCAAGAAACCCTGAAAATACTGTCTTTGATGCTAAAAGATTAATCGGAAGAAAGTTCGATGATCCGGCTGTACAGGCAGATATGAAACACTGGCCGTTTACAGTTAAAGCAGGTCCAGGAGGCAAGCCTCTAATAGAAGTTAATTATCAAGGCAGCAAGAAGACCTTTCATCCTGAAGAGATATCAGCAATGGTCTTGATGAAGATGAAAGAAATAGCTGAAGCATTCATAGGGAAAGAAGTTAAAGAAGCTGTTATTACTGTACCTGCATATTTTAACGACTCACAAAGACAAGCAACAAAAGATGCAGGGACTATCGCAGGATTAAATGTCTTAAGAATTATTAATGAGCCTACTGCAGCAGCTATTGCATACGGTTTAGATAAGAAAGGACACGGGGAGATGAATGTGCTTATCTTTGATATGGGAGGGGGTACCTTTGATGTATCTTTATTAACAATTGAAGACGGTATTTTTGAGGTTAAAGCTACAGCTGGAGATACACATTTAGGAGGTGAAGACTTTGATAATAGACTTGTAGATTTTTGCGTTCAAGATTTCAAGAGAAAGAATAGAAGCAAAGATCCGAGCACAAACAGTCGTGCATTAAGGCGTCTTCGTACACAATGTGAAAGAGCAAAAAGAACATTATCAAGCAGCACACAAGCAACAATTGAGATAGACTCTTTATTTGAGGGTATTGATTATTCTGTCTCCCTCTCTAGAGCTCGCTTTGAAGAACTATGCATGGATTACTTCAGGAACTCTCTTGTACCTGTTGAAAAGGTTCTGAAAGACAGCGGCATTGATAAACGCAGTGTACATGAAGTAGTACTTGTCGGTGGATCTACTCGTATTCCGAAGATACAGCAACTTATTCAAGAGTTTTTCAACGGTAAGGAGCCTTGCCGATCGATTAACCCTGATGAAGCTGTTGCATATGGTGCTGCAGTTCAAGCAGCAATATTGAAGGGGGTTAACAGCAGTCAAGTACAAGATCTATTACTATTAGATGTTGCACCTCTATCATTAGGTTTAGAAACAGCAGGGGGTGTAATGACGAAATTGATTGAAAGAAATACAACAATACCTACAAAGAAGTCTCAGATCTTCACAACATATGCAGATAATCAGCCGGGTGTACTTATTCAAGTCTTTGAAGGAGAGAGAGCTATGACTAAGGATAATAATCTCTTAGGTAAGTTTCATTTAGACGGTATTCCGCCGGCACCGAGAGGCGTACCGCAGATAGAGGTGACGTTCGATATTGACGCAAACGGTATTATGAATGTAACTGCAACAGAAAAGAACACCGGTAAATCAAATCAAATCACTATTACAAACGATAAAGGACGACTAAGCCAAGGTGAAATCGATAGGATGGTAGCTGAAGCTGAGAAATATAAGGCTGAAGATGAAGCAAATAAACAAAGAGTAGAAGCTAAGAATGCACTTGAAAACTATTGCTATTCAATGAGAGGTACTATGGAGGATGAAAAGATAAAGGATAAGATATCTGCTGAAGACAGAGAGGCTGCAACATCTGCTATTCAGAAGGCATTAGACTGGCTTGATAAGAATCAGCTAGCTGAGAAAGAAGAGTTCGAAGCTAAACAAAAAGAAGTTGAAGCTGTATGCACGCCTATTGTTACAAAGATGTATCAATCAGCTGCAGGAGCTCAAGGCGGTATGCCGGGCGGTATGCCGGATATGTCTGCAGCAGCAGGAGCAGCAGGAGGCCCTACTGTTGAAGAAGTTGATTAAATTATTATTATTATCATCTTCATCTTCTTCTTTCCTACAAATCTATGCATTATATACTCAAACATCATTAATAATCACTCAAAATCTATACCTGTTGGAGTGCTCTACATACATACATTGCAAGAAATATACGGGCTGTATAAATAATATATATCTATATATATATTATATATATATGTATATATATCTCTATGTATATGTATATATATTCATATATATATATCTATATATTATTAAGAATGGCCTCGAGACTTAATTATAATTTCTTTATATATGTTCATCAGACGCGCACCCGGTGTGCGAGCGATAGAGTGTTGGAGTGCTGATTTTTACAGCGACGAGCGATAATACCGTTTGTTGCTGCTGCTGCTGCTGCTGCTGCCGCAGCAGCAGCAATAGCAACAGCAGCAGCAGCAGCTGTGCTCGTTCGCTTTACAGAGGAGGAAGCAAGCAATTGTGTAAAGAGAGGGTTAAAGAGGCAAGCCCTCTACTAACATCAAAACACATCTTAAAAATTTATCTTCACTTCTCTCTAGATGTAGCAACAGTAGCAACAGCAGCAACAGCAGTAGCAGCAGTGAGTAGTGCTATCATCATCTTTTGATGAGGCTGGCGAAGAGGAGTCTATTCGTTAAGGTAGTATATTATATATAAGTATATTAGTATGTAAATAGATACACATAGGTACGGTAAATGTATATATATATATATATGCATATGCATATGCATATATATACTATATATATGCAGAGAGAGTTTGAGTGTTTAGTTTATAGAAGTAGTATGAATTTAATGTATGGGTTTACTCTAAATAAAGCTAAGGCCGTCGTAGCCCTATGTCTTATGTCTGATTATATTATTGTATTACTAATATTACTAGTATATGATCACGCTTATTATATTATATATATTATATATATTTATTATTATAATTATTAGTATATTATCAATATTTTTATTATATTGTTAGTATATTATCAATGTTATTATAATATTAGTATATTATAACTAATTACTAGCTGTTAATTTGCATCTGCGTTTCTTCATTCGCGCGACCTGCAAAACAGAGGGTTATATATTATATATATATATAATATATATATATATATTATTAAAAGTAGAGATAGAGAGCAACTAAGTGCGAAGTAAACGAGTAAACAACAAGAAATAATAAGGCGAAGAGTTTGTTTAAATAACAAATAACAAAAGAAGCCCCAAGTAAAACTCTTAAAAGTTTTTTGAAAAAAAGAGATGGGGCTGTTGGTGTATACAATAAATATTTATTATCGTATAAATATAATATATAAAATACAATATATAACATTTTATAGATGCATATACATACATATATAGATGTTTAGGGTCTAAGAATCACTCACAGAGACAGCAAATAATGCATGCACAAGAAAGTAAAATAAGACAGAGAAAAAGCAAGAAGAGATGCTGCTCTGCAAGATACAGCAATGAAGAGGGTTTTAAATATACTTCTGGCCGCACAACACTATCATCATCATCAACTCTCCTCCTATTGTGTATTCCTCTTGCTGCTGCTGCTGCTGATGATGCTGCTGCTTCGTTTGCTTCTTTGTGCTGCTGCAATTCCCGATAAACATCGGCGCCTGCAGATCATCTTCCTGCCTCCATGGCAGTCCATCTGCAGCAGCAGCAGCAGCAGCAGCAGCAGAAGGGTAGCTGCTGCTGCAAGACGACATCCTTTTGAATGTCTTTTGCTATTTTATGCAATATTTCGTTCCATTAGATTGAGAGAAAGGGAGAAAAGACGGGAAAATGCTGCTTATAATGCTTTTCTTTACTCCACAGGGTCTATCTCAAAGTCAGGTTTAAGGTTCTTGTTCGCTCCACTCTCTGTATTAAAGATAAAGATAGCAGCAATAACTAAAAGAGGAGAAAATGCAATTAAAAGTTTGGTGATATCCCACAGCAGCCATAAATACCCAAAGAAATAAACGTCTTCGGCGTCTTGCATCTTGAATAAGAAAAAAAAGGAAGGAGAAATATTTTTAAAAAGCAGAACTTAACCTGCTTATTCCTTCTATACTTCAGAAAATAGTTCAAATATCCTTTAAAATATTAAAAGAAAACAAGAAAAACACCAAGTGCATGCAATTGAATACGCTTACGTTTCTCAAGAAGAAACTTGAAGGCGTTTAAGCTGCAGCCAGCAGAAAGCTGAGGAATACGGAGGGAAAACGACTTCTTTTTAAATTCTTTCTTTGCAGATAAATAAAAGAAAGGTAATTCCAGCAATTTAATCAAAAAGAATCTTCAAAACTCCTGAGACGAAGAAGAAAACAACAAAATGAACAACAAACAAGCATTCATCAAGCGGATGCAGAAGAAGAAATAATTCTTGGGGGCTCGCTCTCTCTCTGCTGCTGTTTGATTGCTTATTGAGGAGTATTCTTTGTTAAAAACAATCAAAATATAAAAGTTTTATTTTATTTATTTCCTTTTCTCCTTTATTTCCTCTTTTTAACAGAGTAAATATGGGTCTTCAGCGCACAAAATAATATACAACGTAGACAGACACCCCGTGTTTAGCTGCATTGTCTGAGTAAGGGCTTGCACGAGAGAAAATTCTTCTTGAAAAGCAAGTTTATGTATTTTGTACATAATATAAATATATATTTTAATATTTTCTCTACATTTTAATAAAGATTTCGCCCTAAAATAACACTAAAAATACGAACAAACCGCTGAAAGATAATTTGTAATCCGCTTTGCAAACTGAAGCACTTAGACAGCAGTAAGAACACATTTGTACAATATATAGTCATTGCATGTATATATATGCATACACATATATATGCATGCATATATATATATATATCTGTGTGTGTGTGTGTGTGTGTTTGTGTTTGTGTGTGTGTGTGTGTGCGTGCGTGCGTGGCGAGCATCTCCGTGCATCTGTTGATTTCTCGGTTGCTGATGTTATTATTAATTGCAGCTATTGTTGCATGCATGCATGTATGCACGAACTTTGTTCTGTTTCGCATGCATGCATATACATCTTCATTTGAAGTTAATGGGATGAGGGCCGCCTCGTTGCATGCAGCAGAAGGAGGTTTGTCCTCTTAAAGCGAACACTAAGAGAAACAACAGCAACAAACTGATATACTAGACGAAGCAATATTCTGATTTCTTCATATTCTGTTTTCTTCGATCTAAACCATCACCCCCAGGCCCTAAGGCTTCCCCTCTATTCCTGTTATATAAGGAAGTGGCTGTGTAGACAGTAGACAGTAGTAAATTTGTTTCTTTCTTATTGCTTTTCATATTCTTATTCAATAAATTCTACTGCTGCTGCTGCTACTGCTGTTGTTGTTGCTGCTGCTGCTGCTGTTGCTGCTGCTGCTACTGCTGTTGTTGTTGCTGCTGCTGTTGCTGCTGCTGCTGCATACCCTGATAATAGGGTGTTTTATTGGGGAAGCGACTTCTGGCTGCTCTTTTTGTCTGTCTTCGTGAATACTTTTTAATACTTTTTCTTATGCATAGCCTCTGCATGCATAAATTGATTTAAGCAATTCTTTATCTCTGTTTATCAGCATCTTTATTGTTTTATTCATTCAAATGTCTCCTTCGGGTGTATAGACAGGATATCATTTATAAAGATATAAGCTCAAAACAAGGCGAGAAAACAAAAGAGCAAACAAATAAACAAGACATTATTTTGCTTTTAGATAAATAAAAAGCAAAGAAATGTTTGTTTGTTTGTTGTAGAGAGAAAAAAAAGTTTCTCTCTTTGTCCAAAGAAGAAAATTAAAATGAATTTCTTTTCTTTTTCTCTTAAACAACTTGTCTTCTTTTTAAATAGAGTTAAAAGAAGACAAACAGAGATACATTTCTAACCTCACGTTTACTGCGTTGTTCTCTACGGAAGTTTATTCTGTATAGGTGCTGTTGCATTTACTTTCCTTGCTGTTCCTGCTGCAGCAGCAGCAGCAGCAGAAGCAGCAGCAGGAGCAGCAGCAGCAGCTGCTGCAGCAGCAGCAGCTGCTGCTGCTTCCCGTAGGATTGCCTGTCTCTGTTTTCTTATCTTTCTTTTGCTTCTCCTGCGTGCAATAAGACCTGTAAAGAAGAAAGACATCCCCAATAGAAGCAGAGTACAGCCTAAAGCTATTCTTTCTAAGACAGCAGCAGCGCGATATTCCTTAGGATGTGTTTCTCTCCTTGCAGCATAATCTCTCCACTCTAATGAAGATAAAATGCTCTTTGGCGTCTTTTCATATTCTTTCATGTAGAAGGCTGAGAAATAAGGGTAAACAAACACACAAACAAACAAACAAATAAACAGAAAACCATCCATGCATGCATGCATGCATGCATGCATGCATGGGGAGGGAAGAGAAAAAGAAGAAATAAATAAATGTATAAGCATGAGTTTCTATCTCGTTCTTGTTCTATTTTATTTACTTTGTCCTAATTCAATAAATCTGTTTTAACGTTATTTTCTCCTCTCTATCTTTTTATCTGCTACGCTGTATGCATGTTTCTCTGCTTGCATGCATGCGAGATAAGTTTCTGTCTTTGTTTGAATTTGTGCATCCTTTACCTGCAATAGACAACCCAATTAAGACTAAGATAACGCCAACACGAATCAAAGTTTGTCCTTTAATCTTTAAAACAGGGGGCCCTTGGGGTTTGTCTTGTAGCTGCACTGAGGGGGGGCGACGCAAGTACTCGACAGGAGTTGCAAATGCTGCTTCTGCTTCTGCTGCTGCTGTTGCTGCTGTTGCTGCTGTTCTTCGTTCGGCTGCTGCTATTTCAGGGGAGATGGGAGAGGGGATGGATGAAGATGTTTCATCAGCAAGCGGGAAGATAGAAGAAGTTTTGCTGGCTTCCGTGTGCGTTGCAGCTTTCGAACTATCGGCAGAATACAAGTAAAATATATCATCATTTGCAGACTCAGCGTGAGACAGGGCCGCCTGTACTTCTTCAAAGAATGCCCCTTCATGAGAACAAGAAGCTCTCTTAGCACCACCAACAGAAAACAGTAAAAATGCAAGAGCTGCTGCTCGCCGTACACCGCAAGAGGGAGAATTCATGTTCTCTACTTCGCCAGCTTCGATGCGAAAGAAGAAAAGGAGAAATAAAGAAGAATGATACACTCAATCGGGGCCTCAAGATGCTGAATAAACAAATATAATAAACGTCTTCATGAATTTATGAAATATATATTATCCTAATTATATGCATTTTCCCTCCTTTCTGTTCGCGAAACTGCTGCTCGCATTGCCACCAAGTAGCTGAGAAGAAGCCGTTCTTTCCATTCATAAGGAGGAAAATGAATTAAATTTGTTGAAATAGCATTCAAATCACGAGAAAATACGACAAAATACGGAAAATATCGGTTCAAATTGCTTACACACTGCGGTCGAGGGAAGCGGAGGAAATAGGGCGGCGACGCAGCACATGGAGTCTATATCGAGTTAATTTTTGCTGAAAAAATAATAACCAATTTAAAAAGAATAATTATTCTTCGGATTTTAAATACTTTTATACAAAAATAAACACAACTGCAAACCTGATCATTACTAGGCCGGGGGTGTTGATCCGGAGCAGCGTCCACCGTTGCAATCACTTGAGGTGTATATACACCTCAACTATGGACAATCATGCATTGATGAGTTTAAAATTTAAATAATAATAAAATAAAACAAGAAACGAACAACAAAAGATAAATATAACAAGAAGGTTTGTTCATGTAGCCAGCCCCTGCAGACTCACTGGGCTCAATGTGGAGGCGACTGGGTATCGAGGCATTATTCAGGTTAATAGTGAGTAAACATCGGCACAAAAACAAATATAAATATTTAAACTATATATAAATATAAATATAAATATATTTATAAACAAATATATAAATTTAATAGTGTTTATTTTCATAGTTTGCAGAGGCCCCGCATGTTCTCGCCCCTCGATGCTGTTTACCCGTTCTACTCTTTCTTGCAATTGTTTTCTTAAGAATTCCAAATAAAAAGAGTTTATTAATAAGGAAGAAAGACATTAAAATGCATTTATTTTTTCGCCTCTTATTCATTTTAATTCTCCCTTTCAAGCATTGTTATAATACTTTTGTATGATGTCGATACCGTCGAGATAAGGTATTAAGAAGCCTGCTGCAACAATATTACTTTTAAATTCCTCGGGTTAACCATTATAATATTATATCCTTTTTTTAATTAAAGTTTTTATTATTTCTTGAAAAAGTATTAAACTGATGCTTCTTCCTTTTTGTATTTCTTTTACCCTTCCTCTTCTTCTGTCTATCTACGCTGTCTGCTGTTTCTGTCTATCTGCTGCTCTTTAACAGACAAATTCACGCAAACCAACGTAATAATCATTTTATTATTTAAAGT